TTCTACAGGAATTCAGTAAGTAGACAAAACAACAAAAGGATTTATTATATAGGAGAAAAAAATATAAGAAAAACTGACCATAAGTTTGAAGACAGAACAAGAGACAAGTAAAGTTTCTTATCTTCGCATCTGATTATCAACTAATCCTTCAGAGAGACCTGCCAGTATTTTCAGATATCAACCTGGCAGCTCTTACTGCTAGGGACATGGACTCATCCCAACCTGAGACAATCCAAAGACCCTGATGACCACCTCGCCAGACAGCCATTAAAATACTTCCAAGCCAGTCCCATCCTGCCTCTCCCATTAGCACTGTCCTAATTCCTTACAAGTCTCAATATCCTCCAAAAATTTCTCTGCTGGGACCTCTGACACTCCTTTGGTTAATGGGCCATTTCTCTCAGACACCTTTGCTATTGTGCAGTTGTTTTTCCTGCTTTCAAGGCACGAGAGCAAGCTATCCCGATGCAAAGAAAGAATGGGAAGTGCAGTAGGAGACCAACCTAAAGAGACAGCAATCTCTTTATGTAAAAGAGCAATATGATTGCTCAGAGCTCCAGTATGAAGCTGGAGATAGGCCTGTTGAGAGTCTCTGGGTTAGGGTCAGGGGGGAAAAGTAACAAGGGTGATGTTGTAGTGAGGGTCTGCTATAGTTCACTAGAGCAAGAGGAAGTGGTGGATGAGCCTTTCTTCAAACAACTAGAGGAAATTTCCCAATCACAGGTACTGGTTCTCATGGGGGACTTCAATCACCCTGACCCCTGCTGGGAGGGCAATGCAGCAGTGTGCAGACAATCCAGGAAGTTTTTGGAGAGTACTGGAGACAACTTCCTGGTGCAAGTGCTGAAGCAACCAACTAGGGGATGTGCTCTTCTTGCCTGGCTGCTCACAAACATGGAAAGATTGGTGGGGAATGTAGTAGGAGATCGCAACTTGGGCAGCAGTGATCGTGACATGATTGAATTCAGGATCCTGAGGAAAAGAAGGATGAAGAGCAGCAGAGTAAGGACCCTGGACTTCAGAAAAGCAGGTTTCAATTCACTCAGGGAACTTATGGGCAGGATCCCCTGGGAAGCCAGGCTGAGAGGGAGAAGAGTCCAGGAGAACTGGCTGTACTTTAAAGCCTTACCGAGAGTTTAGGAACAAACCATCCTGATACACAGGAAGACCAGCAAGTGTGGCAGAAGACCAGCTTGGTTTAACAGGAAACTCTTTAGTCAACTAAATCACAAAAGGAAAGCTTATAAGAAGTAGAAACTTGGACAAATAAATAGCGAGGAGTATAAGAGCATTGCTCAGGCATGCAGGGATGAAGTCAGGAAGGCCAAAACACAACCGGAGTTGCAGCTAGTAAGGAATGTGAAGGGTAACAAGAAGGGTTTTTATAAGTATGTTGGTAGCAAGAGAAAGATCAGGGGAAGTGTGGGTTCCTTACTGAATGGGAGAGGCAGCCTAGTGACAGAGGATGTAGAAATGGCAGAAGTGCTCAATACCTTTTTCACCTCAGTCTTCACAGGCAAAGTCAGCTAGCAGACTACTGCACTGGGCAGCACAGTTTGGGCAGGAGGTGAGGAGCCAACAGTGGTGAAAGAACAGGTTAGGGACTACTTAGAAAATATGGATGTGTACAAGTCTATGGGGTGCTGAGGGAGTTGGCCAGTTTAATTTGTCTTCATCAACCTGAAAGATGGCATAAAGTATACCCTCAACCCGTTTACAGATGACGCCAAGCTAGGGGGAGTAGTAAATACACTGGAGGGTAGGGCTAGGGTTCAGTGACCTAGATAAATTGGAAGATTGGGCCAAAAGGAATCTCCTGAGGTTCAACAAGGACAAGTGCAAAGTCTTGCACTTAGGACAGAACAATCCCGTACACCAGTACAGGTTGGGGGCTGACTGGCTGGGCAGCAGCTCTCCAGAAAAGGACCTGGGTGTGACAGTGGACAGTAAAGTGAATATGAGCCAGCAGTGCGCCCTTGTTGCCAAGAAGGTTAATGGCATACTGGGCTGCATTGGTAGGTGTGTTGCCACTAGGTCAAGGGAAGTGATTCTTCCCCTCTATTCAGCACTGGTGAGGCCATAGCTGGAGTACTGTGTTCAGTTTTGGGCCTCACACTACAGAAAGGATGTAGACAAATTGGAGAGAGTCCAGGAGGGTGACAGAAGTGATGAGGAGGCTGGGGGACATGACTTCTGAGGAAAGACTGGGGGAACTGGGCTTATTCAGTCTAGAGAAGAGAAGACTGAGAGGGAACCAGCCTTCAATTACCTGAGGCAGGGTCTAAAAGAGG